TCTGAAGGTGGGGTAAGAGGTTTCTTCTTATAATTTGTACACGATCCTCTTCCCGTGGAAGGACTGGTAATTTTTTAAAGAGATTTTCCATCACCGAAACATATGTGATGACGCGTTCCTGAGCACCTTGGGTTCTACGACGGATCTCGTCCCATAATCCTTGCTGATAATCATGTGGTTGAAAAGAATTCCGAAGTTCCGCAACCAAATCATCCCAAGACCTAAATGAATTCATTCTATACCACAGAAGAGCATCTTTGTGAAATAATCCTGACGCTGATTGAAGTAGCCTTTCTTTTGAAACATCTCGTGAGACTCTCAACTCTTCCACTCGTTCCAAAAAGCTAGGTACACTAGTGACACCGTCGTATTGTAAGTTCCACCGACTCACATCTAGAAACGACCTGTCCACCAAATCGGGTCTATCCCTATCTCTATAGGAGGAGGTATCTGCTAGATATGTTCGATTAATTGTTGTTACTAGTTAGCAATATTTTCCCTAGACGGAGGTTTCATACATGCAGCTTACTGTTTAGGTAAGTTGGGAGAGATGCAGCTTATATTTCGAAATATGTATTGTCTTGTAAAAAAAATTCAATGAATGATAACGATCAAATTCTTGAAAAAAATTGTCAAGTTTCTTGTAGCTGTTGTTGAACCAGCATCATGAGCGGCTTCACAATGAAATTTTAAATATACTAGTTAACATGTATTTTCTTTTAAACAAAACTCGGAGTAAAGAATAAAAATTTTCGATTTGAAAATAGTGTACTCGAAATTGAAATGATCTCAATGGAAAAATATACAAAATTGTTGGGAAAGAAAGATTATGGCTTTCTACTACTCCATCTGATACAAAAAAAGGGATGAGAGAATCTTCCAAAGAAAGGAAGGAAGTGATCAATTTGAAAATAAGTAACTCTATACATGGATGTGAAGATCATGCAAAGAAGTAACTTTCAGACACAAACTGAAAGAAAGTCCTCCTGAAACAGCTACTTATTTCGAAAGAATTTTTTTCTTTCGTGTAATTCAATGTTTATATGAAAGTAGCTGTTTCAGGAGGACTTTCTTCCAGTTTGTGTCTGAAAGTTACTTCTTTGCATGATCTACACATCCATGTATAGAGTTACTTATTTTCAAATTGATTACTTCCTTCCTTTCTTTGGAAGATTCTCTCATCCCTTTTTTTGTATCAGATGGAGTAGTAGAAGGCAAAAAACTTTCTTTCCCAAAAATTAATCACTCCTAAAATTATAACCCCTTCTATACAAAATTGGTTTAAAAAAAAAATTAATTCCGACCTGTTCATTCAGCGAAGGTAGAAATGTTAATTCCTCAAGAGGGTCAGCAAATAATTGTTGGATATTTTCTACGATGTATACAGGTGATCTTGTGGTCGAAATTCTATATTCGTGTTCTGAATACTCGGCAAATTTGCACAGACGATTTTCACCACTAGCATTCAGAAATTTCAGGCTCAATTTCTTCTATCTCTGTAGATAGGAGCTCAAATGAATACTCCAATATATAGGATGCAGAAAAATGAACTGAAATGAATAATTCTTCAGCTTCATCCAGCAGTGTTTGCGTACACCAATCGGTATTGATTGACAAAACACGAAGGGTTTATTCATTCACATTTTTATTTAATAGCGACATATCATGAGTCAGTTTGAAGGTACTATATTTTGACTCGAAAGAAACTGTTATTTTCTTTAAACTTTTGCAGAGATGTGTATTTTAGTGGTAGTTGTTGCCTGAATATCAGATAAATAAATGATGTTCATATTGTTTCTAACAATAAACACGAGCACTACACGAAAATCCTTAAGAAGCTCTAAGAACGGTGCCTGTAGAAATTAACGATTCGCATCGGATTTAAATCGCTGAGAATTGAATTCTTTCGGAAAAACGTTCTCAGGAAGTTCATTCCACATCGGTACAGTTCTCCAAATGATAGAGTTCGTAAACAGTCATGTTCGAGGTGTACTGAGTTGAACCTCAAAAAGATGAGCAGCCACAGTCCGTCGCATATTTCTGATATGTACCGCTCTTTGTGGAATCAAATGTGTCAAATAATTTACGAGATTTCCAAAAGAATTTTGAGTTATCATTGAATTTATATCAGTATCATTGGTCTACAACATATGTGTACATTTCTTCATTCTTATGATTTTGTAGGCAATCCTAATATATCAAAAATTACAAATTTATAAATATCTTACATTATTAAAATACGTAAATTCAATGAACATTTGAAAGTTCATTTGGAGGTTAACAAAATATACTTACATATCTATAGACAACATATTCAACATAATGGAAGAATATAATATTCAGAAAGATGAGACGAAATCTATTAAAATCACAGCAAAATCCAAGAAATCGTTAGCACATTCAAATAAATCGCAACAGAAAGTAATTGCTCAGATTATTCTGTTTATTTTTCATTACTGTCAGCTATCATATTCAATTATATTTATTTCATCTAGTGTTGGGCTTTCTCTGCTATTTCCATTGTACTCACTTTCCATTTAGTGTTTTCAATATTTAGTAGAGGTAACGGCGGAAACAATTAACATGACAACTGACACAAATAAAACATGAAAGGAATAGGCAACTCAGAACGAACCTACATGTACTCTAATAAAATCCCTTCATGAACAATTCATAATGGAATTAACGCAATGAGAAAATGAAATTTTTCAAAACGAGAAGAAAAATCTATTTTTCGATTTGTAATCGAAAATTTGTGAAATATGGGAAAACAAGCCGAACTGATCATAAAACAATAGGAATTATTAAAGAAAGCCACAATGAACTTACATGGTGCGTCTTTTGATGCGGAAATCAGTGTAGATTATGTATTTGAGTCCGCAAGGATGAATAAAGTATCAGAATGACTTTTCATAATATTAATGAAGAAAAAACGTCATAATTTCATGATCAACACCTCACAATTTGATTTCCACAAACTTTATTTTTAAAAAATATCACATGTTTCTAGTGTGTTTGTACTGGTGTGTTAGTAGTACTACCGTGTTAGTACACGGTAGCTTTTTCGTAGTGAATAACGAACATCATTCACTACGGCATAGATCATGACGTACTACATACAGAAAATAAAGAACAAAAATCAAATCTGATGGATGTTTTAGAAATGATCAAACTTTAACAATCAACTTCCTAATTGAACCACCAAAAAGGTCAATTTCTGTAAATTTCTGTGATGACAGTTATCACCCGAAGACGATTGTAGATTCTAACAATCGAAACGTCGTAAAGTAACTTATTGATTATTTTAGTGATTTCAGATTATACTAGTTCTTGCCCGCGGCTTCGCCCGTGTAGAATTTGGTAGTTGTAGTACTAATTAGTAGTTGCTATATCGCTGCTGTTCCAATGTTTTGACAGAATCAGAATCAACGAACTTAGGCGTGCGCAGGGTACAGTGCTTTCAAAATATTGTTGTACAGCGCCATCTAGTGGCGAGTTACAGAAAAATCGATAGCCTAAAAACCTTCTCTATGAAAACTTATACATGTCAAGTCTCATCACGATCGGTTGAGAATGTAGAAGTTTATCACTTACCAACCAACAAACATCCATTTTCATATATTGGACTAGTCTATGTTGCTGTATCGCTGCTGTTCCAATATTTTGACAGAATCTGAATCAACGAACTTGGGAAAATTTTCTACAGCGCCATCTAGTGGCGAGTTACAGAAAAATAGATAGCCTAAAAACCTTCTCCATGAAAAATTACTTATACAAGTCAAGTTTCATCACGATCGGTTGAGCGATGTAGAAGTTTATCACTTACCAACCAACCAAGCAACAAACATCCATTTTCATATAGTAGATTAGACAATGGAAGTTTGAACTAATGAAGTTCATTATGAAACATTGTCAACAACCTTTAAACGAAGGTGTGTTATGAGTATCATTCACAAGAAATCTGTTTTTGGATTTTCACTTTTCCATCTTCATACCAAAAAGTGGAAAACTTTCGGAAAATGGAAGAAAGCGATCATGTTCAAAATAAACTCTTCTAACAGATGTGTAGATCATTCATAGAACTCAGTTTCAGATACATACTGGAAGAAAAACAACTACTTTCACATGCACATTGGATTACAAGGAAGAAATATTGCTTTCAAATCATTCAGTCCCATATGAAAATTGAATTATACTTCAATAATTTTTTTGTATTCAGTTTGCACTTCAAACATTGAAACAAATATCATTCATAGAAACGCCACACAATATAATATATTGATTGAGTGATATACATTGATAAGTCCGTAATCCTCCTTATTCAAATTGTTGAAGTGCAATAAATGAAAGTGTTTTCAATCTGAAATTCCAAGAATTACGCCTCAAATATTATATTATAGATTTCTATGTTAGTGGATTTTCCCTTGTGTACATGCACATGCGAAGTGGTTGTTTTGGGATAATTTTTTTTCCAGCTTTATCTTCGAGTAACTTCTCTGCATAATCCATATATTTTTGTGAAGAATTTCAAATTAATCTCCTCTGAAAATGTACCTCTTTCAAATCTGTATTCATTTCAGTGTGAGTCACTACTTGTCAAAATGAAACTTTTAGTATATCTATGTAAACTGATATTGGAAACATAATTCGTATTTTTCTTATAAATGATATCGTACTATTAATAGCTTTTTCAGTTCGAGCTATGAGAAAATTATAATTATTTCAGATAACAAGGAATGTAAACAGTTTCTGTTGTTTCCATCTTCAAAATGGGGCTATAAATAATGTAACTCAAATAAAAGGTGAAGTTATTTGAAAAAAATTAGCGACTATAATTATAAATGAATATCGTAAAACAACCGAAGGAATCTTCAGAGCTTTCACTCTCATTCATAGCTGAATTTACATTATCAAATACGTCAACTACATACTAACATGCACCGAACCTCAATTTACTTCCGGTACCTAATCTATAAATCGTACTTATTATAATATGATTCAATTCATTCCAGTCCAGTACTTCAATTAGTGCCACACGATGAATAATTCGATAATCTTTGCAGTAGTTCTTTTGACGAGTTCGGTTTACGCCGATCAATCTGCTGTCGAACTTTTCCAGGATGTTTATCGGGCATGTCTTCAACAATTCAGTATTGCTTGTGTAAAACCAAGAACACTGAAATGGATAAATGCAGTTGCTGAAAAGAATTCTATCAGAATTACTGAAGATTTAGTTTTAGTCAAAAAATATAGTCCTGAAGTCCAGGTGAGTTATTAATCAGTAAGTTATACAGGGCGTTTGCTAACTACGGTACGAAACTTCGGAACGTGATTCATTAGATCGTTTTAAAAAAGAAATTCCTTTCAACATTTGCTCGCAGATGCTTTCTTTCGAAGTCGAAAAAACGGTATTCACAAAATATTATGAATATCTTCTAATTCTAACCGATTCAATTGAAATTCATTACAGTTATTTGAAGTAATAAATTACGTATTTGGCCCTAACTATGTTGAAATTCATTGATTCAGTGACGTCTCATTGGGCACTGCAGAGAAAGCACGCCACTATCTTGATTTTTGTAGCTTTTTCTGATCAAGCAAGCTCAAAATACAACTTTTTAGTCCCTAGTGTTTCCTTCATGAAACATTTTTTTCCAATAATATCGAAAAAACATGTGCCCCCGTATGTCTCAAACTTTTTTCGAGCTAGTAACTAATTATAACTCAATCAGTTCAGGGGCGTATCCTAAAGCACATGAGTTGAAATTTGTAACGCCACTGGTGTCGATAGGTTTTCCATTGAAAAGTAAATATTCATCTGCTATTTAAATCAAATTGTTTGTCCAATTCAGTAAAGTACCCTATAGAGTAATTTCATGTGCTATATTTAGCACGCTACATACAAGATTATGCATGCTTCCTCAGACTTTGTCATAAGTGTTCGTAGCAAACGCAGGTGGTGTAAAACCAGAACTAGAAGAAGTTATATTCAATGTAGATAGAAGAAAATGTTACAAATCGAAACAAGAAGATTATATTGCAACTTGAAGTCAACCGAAAACCCATTTGGAAAGTTCTAAAAATAAACCTTCCATATCCGTATCATATACAGCTGGTCCAAGGTCTACTGTTTTGGGATTCTCATTCAAGATTGGTCATGAGGAATACCACAGGTATTTTTATCACTCGATCAATGGCAAATTCATTGTTTGCAATCATTTTTTTTTTCATCAGAAGGTCGACACTTTGTTGATTTACTTCGAGATCGCGATTATTCACTTTTCTCCTCTGGTTTTCAAGATATATTGTCCATAGATAGTTTACAGAATGAGTTGGAGTGATTTTTTATCCCAAAAGAAGCTGATTGAATGTAAAGGAAACACACGAGACCAAAAAGTTATATTTTCAGTTGCTTCACCTAAAAAAATATAAACTACAAACAGTGGCGTACTCACTGGGTGCGATGCTTATTGAGACGACACTGAACCTAATAATTTCGAACTAATTGGGACTAGATAAGTGCCTTATTACTTCATATAACTGTTCGAAACATCACCCAAATCAATTTAAGGATATTTATGCTTTTCTCTAACCTCAACGCCCTATGTTTCAAAAACGTTTCAACTCCGGAAGTACACTTACTTTTATAAAAACGACGACCCAACGAATTGCCATCTGAAGTTTCATACCCTTGTTAGGAAATACTGTATTTTTGTTTCAATAAATACTTCAAATACGTTATGCTTCCTCATTCCTGATTTTAACTGCAAGATGAATCCAATTGGTTGATTTAAAAATTCATCGTGAATTGACGAGATAATTTTCACAAACAATGACACTTTTTTATCAGTTCTATATGATTTTCAACACGAATTCAGAACTTCATTTTTCATTACAGGAGAATAGAAACTTACAGAAAGACATTCTGGAAAAGTTCGAAGATTTTTTGCAGTCTCATGATATTGTAGTCAGTGCCCCAGCTTTACTTCAACCTGACGGTCCTTTGGGAAAATATGTACCAAGAACCTTCCAACCGACTGATATAACTGTACCCTTGGCGACCACAGGTGAAAATTCAATAATATGAGTTCACAGTCAATTACAGTCACTTATGAAAAATTTATTGAATCCTATCTATTTAAAACTATACATCATAAACTAGTATTATTTCGTATTGATAGTACTAAAAAATGTATGGTTCGGGATAACCAGTTTCTCATCGTATTATGACATTTAATCTGTCGAATAACATATTTCTTTCCATAAAAAGTGTTTCCAAGTCCCCAATCAAGCTACAAAGTGGTAATAGAAAGGCTTTGAAATTTCGTTCTGAGGACTTTCCAATGAAATTTTGTTGGAAAAATTGAAAATTTCATTATAACTCCATATAAAACATCCAATGTGAAGAAGATATTCTCTCTAAAAACCAAAAAAACCTTTGAAGTTTCATTCATTTACTATAAGACAAAATATTTGGATCAAATCGTTATTCGACAAAAAAATAAGTATTTACATTTTTGAAATATTCTTATGATGAAACAAACTTCTCAGTTGAGTTTCCAATGAGAATAGAAAGATTTGAACGGATCAATTTTTCCAAATGATATCAGAATTTATTATATACTTATATGTTACAGACTTCTGGAAAAATTCGAATATGATTTGATATTTTACAACTTCCAAGTCCGAACTACTGAAATGCACCATTGTCAATCACTTCCAATCATATATTGATATGTATTTGAAACTTTTAGTCGAAATTACTACAAACTTCTAACAGAGGCTCCATGTGACACACACAAGAAATTTTTGGAAATTGCAAATAATTGTGTTAGCAATTCCATTTAGACAAAACATTATCATTAGGATGCCAACTTGGTTTGCGAAACGCATCTTGAGAAGAGTATTGCATTTCTGGTATTTGGAGAATGTGCTCGTTTTTGATTTATTCCACGTCAGAGGTTCCGGTTTTATCTTTCATTTCAAATTCATTTGTCATCATTTATTATATTTCCAAGTCGAAATAATAAAACAATTCCAGAATATGTGAACTATTCGGATACTGAAATAGACATTTGAGAAGGTGAGTAATGATTCTAATTTATATAGTGAACATAGTGAAAAACTGATAGCGAACGAACAACTTGCTTCAATATTATTTTGTAAAACGTATACATTTTCATCGAACAAAAATGCATTCTTCTTCTCAGGATAACAAACATTTTAAATATCATTCATTGCAAAGGCTTTCTGTTCCATTTTGTGAAAAATATTTTGAGTATACACATTTGCTCCATTTGATTTTGAATGAAATAATGTAAAAAATCAGAATTTGTAAGACGCGGAGTTGAATGTACGAAAATAGTCTGAACAAGAGCTTGATCGATAACCAAGTAACAAGGTATTTTCGATATGAGTATTTTTGCTCCAAAAAAATCCACCAATATATGTCGTAAAGTGACTAGAACTGATTTTATTTCGAATTAAGATTCCTTCAACAATCATTATGTTAACAGGTCGATCTTCAAAACTGGTCAAAAAAGTTATTTTCCCGTTCCTTTTGGGTCTTAAATTCAAGACTGCTGTTTTGGTACCTCTTGCCTTAGCTCTGATAGCATTGAAAACTTGGAAGGCTCTAACTCTAGCGCTACTGTCACTGGTTCTTACTGGAGCTATCGCTATGTTTTCGAAATTCATTGGACCAAAGGTGAGTTGTAAGCTACATTTTCAATAATGAATTTTTTATATTGATGTTGTTATTAATGATTTTTGTGGTGTAAAAATATAAACTTTCGCTTTGGAGGAATTAAAGTCATTTGAGTTTCAGAAATAATACGGGTAGAAAGACCACTTAGCCAAAAACAAATATTTCCATTATATATGACTCCAAAGAAGTAGGTTATTCGACAGTTTCTCCACTACTTCATCATCTACGAGTCAGACACCAGAAATGGCTGAATCATTGTACTTTACATTATCTAATATGACTCTACTTTGATTCGAAATCTATGAAAGAACAAATGAAGTTAGAATGAAATATCAATAAAATTAACAATAAAACGTGAAATGAAAATACAATAAAACGAATGGAATATATTCAAGATGAAAAATGACAAGATCACGAAGTGAAGAAAGGAAAAATGAAAAATAAAGAATGAAAATACCACCAGCAAATAATTAAAAATAATAAAATGGAAAAGGTTTCAAACCAAGTTACTTCAGGACTAATCGATTGTTAGTATCCACAATCGTCTTCGGGTGATAACCAAGTACCTTGGTTTGAAATCTTTTTTACATTTATTTTTCAATTTTTTGCTCATTTTTTAGTTCTCTTTTCTTACTCTGTGATCATTCTCATTTTATTTTAATTCCATTTGTTTTTTGGTAGATTTCGAGTCATTTTAGACAATGGAAGTCTGAACTGATAGAATTTCGTTTTCTACTTCACCATCTTTTTCCCAAAATCTGATCCTTAAAATATTCCCCTTTCAATTATTAATTTCATTTCACAATTTTAGGTACCGACTTACGAAGTAATACATTACCCACATCATCCCGTGCATGTAGATTATGATCACATCGATGTAGTACCTGCACCTGCAGTATCATATGGTCATCCTGTATATGCTGCTAGAGCTTTTGATGAACAACAGTTGGCCTACACTCCGCAATCGAACTAAAACCGTGAATGCTGATTAATATTTATTATTTATTTTTGATTTATTCATTGAAAATATAAAATTCATGAGATTTTTATTTTATGATGGCATATTCTTGAAAAAGATGCTTCATGGAGAATATTATTTCAGTTGTTACTTATACGTTATTTTTTTAAGTGGTTGAACAAAGGATGTTACAAAATGACGCTATCGGCTTGAGAGTTTGGATTATTTCACCCTTGGAAAAGAATTAAACTTCATTAATATTCGGACACTAGCTTACTGAAATGATATTCTTTACTGATCTCTTGGTGAAAGTGGATAGCAGATGGAGATGCAGAATTTCAAGAGTAGAATTATTTTGACCCGATATCTTGAAGATTTGGTAACAGTAGTAGGCTGGAACTTATTGTTCCCTGAACTTTAGTTAACTCCGAGGAACATAGACACGGCATACTGATAACCAATGAAGATTTGGATGATGAAGCGACACTTGTCATGATCTCGTGTTCAGCTCTTTACCCTCAGAGGTGGTATTGAAAATATAAAAAATATAATATAATAGAATAGAACTAGCCAATACTTGATGAAAATCTATAGGTGGGTAGCTGGTCGGTAGCTTAAGAATCACACGTTAAAAGGTAAGACTTCTTCAGTCCATAGTTCGAACAAGTTTCGACTCTTGAGGGCTCTTGTTCGTAGGGATGCGAAAGCTGACTAACGGAAAAATATGATTTTTTTCAAATATATTAAAACTCGTCAATAATTATTAACACTTGAGAAAGCTATTGTATAGCGAAACACGTATCTCGGTTTTCGTGAAACCTTTTATAGTGTGAGTCATACAATAAACTGTATTAATGAGTTAAAATATTCAACGAAAGTCATTTTTTTGTGGAGGAAAAAATCAGTTTTTTATCGACCTTTTTTTGGGTAATGGTTACCTTCCACAATCTGAGAAAATATAAAAATTATAATGGAGAACTTTATACAAGAGTTAAAATATAATATGGAATAATAGGCTTTCACGACCGAAGTCATCAATAAGAAGAACAAAATCCATGCTGATGGTCAAATGGACCCTGAAATACCGAATGCTAAGTCTGCTATCGTGGCAGACATCATCAGTACGTGCATGGACTGTGAGGACGTAGATTGTATTTCTAAGTCTCAGCAACAACTGACTTTGATAATAATATCTAGCTATCTAGTTACCAAAATGATAGATTGGAATTGCAATAGCAAAATAACAACGAAAATACTTGAACACTTTGAGAACTAGTGAGCATTGTCCCCAAACATTTGGGAAAATGTAAGTGAAAATATAGGAATAGAAATCAAAAATCAAAACACTGATGGATGGTTCATTTCTACCAAAATAGAGTTATACAGCTATAAAAGCTCCTTTTCAACAGCTATAAAACTGATAGTCATGAAATCGATATCCAGATGTTATTATTCTAAAATCATACGTGACTCTCGGGGCCAATGTATGTATCATTCTCACAGTAACAATCACAGTCAGTATAACTGTCCTAAGCAAATTCAACCAATGGGATCAAATATACTGTGTCTGCTCAAGTTTGCATCATATGAAAAACTGATTTTTTTAATTCTACGAAAAGAAGATTTTTTACAAAAATGTCTGCATGGTCTTGAACCTAAAATGAAATCATCAGATATAAAATGTTACAAGTCGTATATGAAGTTTGTCAGAAAATAATAATTTTGTCCAACAATAAAGTAAATCATCGGAAACTATTATCTTTTTATTAGTTAAAAATTCGATAATTTTCACGTCTCTCAACCTCTATGTTACATTATTTGGATGATGCATTAAAATTAATGTTAAGTAATTTTCAAATACATGAATATAGTGCTAATAATGTCAATTGCTTTTATTCTGATTGATTCGGCCGTTACTTGATGAAGATCCATAGTAATTTCATAAACTACACCTCACGATTTGATCTCCACAAACTTTATTTGAAAAATATATCACATGTTTCGCTAACACAGTAGCTTTATCAAATTATATTCACAAATCTCAATTTCGAATATTTTTTTCATTTGCCCAGTTAGATACAATTTATTTTCCATGAATAGAAGTTTCGTGAAAGAAACATATTTCTCTTCAGTTTGAGCGACGACATCAACTTTATATTTATTAGTACATAACTCTTTTACGAATAAGTGACAGTCATACCCGCTAAGATTATGGAAAATAATTGGAATGAAATCGAGCAATTTGAAATTGAGATTACAAATGGAATGTAAGCTCCATTTTTCCTCGTTAGATGTCAGTGGTCACTTACTTTAATATCATCCTCTTCAATTTTTTCTTCATATCCCACATGTGGTAGAAATATTGAAGTCATGCTCGTCCTCAACAGTCAGACGACTCATTAAATATTTGTGATTGATATTGGTTATGTCAGCCTCCAAGTTCGAAATAAACACTTCAGCTCTATCAGCACCTCTATATTATACAAATTTAGAAACTGAATCATCAATAGACCACTTTACGGTATATGAGAAAGCATATCGCTCTTGAAGATAAGTTTTATTTGTGAAGGAGTGTGCAAGATTTGATTCATTTGTATGCATTAGTTTCAAAATATATTAAAAATCAACTTACACAACGAATGGAACTTTCAATGGTTTCTCAACATTTTCATATTTCAAAATATTTTCAGATACATATTTACCAAATTTGTCGATTCTGAAATATGTTTTCGGTGTTGTTGTTGAAATGTGATTACAATAATTCAACTGATGTCGCTGTAGAGCCCGCCCATCACTAAAGTACAATAAACAACCATCAAAATAATTTCTTCTTCCATTTGGGATGATACTAGTATCGATAAATCCTTTATCCCACAATAATGACTATTATCAGATTCATCTAGATATTCAACAGATTTACGTCACTGTCAAGCCTAGATTTCGAATAGGGTAATGGGGCTATAACTTCATATTCGATTCTGCCATTTCTGAAAGTGTTTTCCATCCCATAAACATTGAAAGAGCAATCATTCATATTCTCAAATTGAGGGATATCTTTCAACTTAACTGTAAAATCCATACCTGCTACATTCAATACGGTTGAGAAGTGGGGGTATGACGAAATTTCACAGACTGACGCACTGGCAGAATACAAAGCTGAAGTCACAGCCCATGCAAAGCAGTAACAGTCCTGATTCTCAACATTCACCGCACTTCTCTTAGATTTGAGGAATTTGGGAAGTTTGATGTAAGAAGATCCTCCAAAGGGGCTATACTCATTAACATTCTACTCCAAATACAAAATTTTCTCAATTGTCCAACACGATAATATATAGTTTATTATTTTACATACCCAATTGATTATGTTGTGAAAATATCATATACCTGAAGCTCGATCTTGAAATTCCATCGCTCACGCAGTGATACTATCAGCAAAAGTGTTATAAGTGTTATAATAACTTGATTGGAAATATTAAATGCTTTAATATCACAGTACTCTTTGGTTTGTAGATTGTAGCGCCCAAACACCTCCATATTAACTTTCACAACTTTATCAATTACCAACTCTTCTTTGAATAGTTTTGATACTTCCTGCTTCAATTCATTGAAGAATGTGGTGGTTTCGACTATCCACCCTGTAGCTCACAATTCTACACATGAAAGCTGTGCCTACGATTTCAATTCCCTCATCATATTGCATATTGCATTCGTTCTATGCTGCAAGGTTCTCCGATGTACATTTATCACTCAAAATTGTCAAATTGCAGCACTGGCATATCTGAATTATCAAAGGTATTGGGGGTTCAACCTGAGCCTCTTCGAGGTTGATGCTTCTCCATTATTATCGGTTGATGATCCTCCATAATTCACCAACGTACAGGACTCACGCTGATGACGACGCAGGTTGTAACTACGTAGGACACTTTTTTAACATTCATTGCACATATACATTTTGTATGAAATTATATAAACCACGAGATTATGAAGGGAATGCGAACTGAGTGAAACATTTATACTGCACTCCTAATAAAAGTACATTTTCCCACCCCTCCACTCCGACTCTATGAAAATCGCGGAGTCGAATCTCAAATTACATGTCAAGGTCGTGAGACGCCCTTCAAGGTCGAATCTCAAGGTCACGTACCAGGAAGAGTCTGGATTCTCGAGGTCAAATTTCATGTATACGGTCATATAGCATACACATAGCATAAAGTTTATTTAAAGGTCAAAGCGCAAGTCGAAAGCCATGTGTCGAGGACAGAATGGATATGATGTGACATCAGTCAAGGTCTGACCTCGAAGCCACGTATCGAGCAAGGTTGAATCTCAAGGTCGAACCGCATGTTGAATGTCATATTGAACTTGTATAGATCATGGTCGTGAGTTATCTTTCAAGGTCAGACTTCAAGGTCACATACCGAAGGCACCATATTGGGTACAAGCGTTTAATTAATTTTATCATTGTTGTCAGTTTCATCGCTATTACAATCATTGCTGTCACTTTCATTGCAATAGCGATGAAACTGACAGCAATGAAATTGAAATCCAGCTGCTATCATTCTAATAATACGTGACTCTCTGTCACTCTCGTGACAGAGAGTCACAATTTCAATCATTCTCGCAGTCCTAATCAAATGATTGATTAATCTTTACGAATACAACTGAATATTTCTTTAGATGAATATTGATTTTCTGAACTGAAACTTTGTTATTTTCAAATAATAACAATCGAACTACCAGCAATAGACAAAACCACTCGTTAAACGGACTCGTAGTTTTGTCATTAGCTTTTATGCCACACTGTTAAAAATTTCTATACTAATTTTACAAAAACGCTTTGGAAGTTTCAACGCATAACATTTTTT